CTGCGGACCTTGGCGTTCCCGGGAAGCCCGCCGCTCCCTGCCCGTTTTCCAGCGGAGGCCGGGGGCAGCCTCGTTCCGGGCGGAGCTCGGCTCAAGGCAGCAGAGACCCTCCCTCCCCGCCTTGCTGCACGGAGACCCCCAGAGGCTCTGGCGACTCAGTGGCGCGGCCCAGGGACCGCGGCTGGCGGATTTGGCGTCGGGGAAGGGCCTGGGCGAAGCTCAGCTGGGCCGGGCGCACATTCAGCACCTCTGAGCATCCGGGAGTGGAGTGGGGCGCTGAAGCCTGGCCGAGCCTGCGCTGTTTCCCAGTCCTGACTCCCGGCTGGGGCCTCTCCCTCCCGATCCCCGGCCCTGGCCCTCCAGGAGCGGCTGGCCCAGTGCCAGGACCAGAGCAGCCGGCATGCCGCGGAGCTGCGGGACTTCAAGAACAAGATGCTGCCGCTGCTGGAGGTGGCGGAGAAGGAGCGGGAGGCGCTCAGGGCGGAGGCTGACAGCGTCGCGGGGCGCGTGGACCGTCTGGAGCGGGAGGTGGACTATCTGGAGACCCAGAACCCAGCCCCGCCCTGTGTGGAGATTGACGAGAAGGTGGCTGGAGGGCCGGGGACCAAAGGCAAGGGCAGAAGGAATGAGAAGTACGACATGGTCACAGGTGAGTGGCCCGAGGCGGGCCCCTAACTTGTATCCTGCCTGGCCTGCGTCTTACTCTGTTTTTTCCCTGTCCCGCTTCACTGTGGCTCTGTCTTCTGGAGTGTTTTAGGGAACGCTCTGTAATGCCAGGCCCATTCAGAAGGGGTTCTGGGAACCCAGGCGCCAGTGCACCCTCTTTTTTCCAGTTCCCCCTGTGAGCACAGCAGGTCCCCTACATACGAACCCCTTCAGTTGGCAAACTTCGAAAGACGAGAATGTGTGTTCACATGCCCAGCCGCCGTAGTTCAGGTGACTGGCATATGCTGTCACGTGTGTGCATCCTCTACAAGTGGTTGTGCTTCTGTGTATTTTACAGTGCTGTCTAGAGTACCGTGGTACAGTGTCTTTATTTAGCGCCCAGGATGCCCAGGGAAGCAGGCATAAAAGCAGCGGCGAGGTAGCTGGTACAATATAGCCAGTTGTGTTAGTTGGGTACTTAGGCCTCCTCTGTCGGACGCATGAGCACACTCTCGGGACGGAACTTGCTCATACGAAGGAGACTTGCTGTGGAGGCATCTGCTGGGCAAATGCCTGCCGTCCTTTACACAGCCCACCCTGGGGGAGTTCCGGCCGTGGACATCTAACTCTCGCCTCTGTTTCCTTTCCTTGCTTTGCTCCTTCCCACCAGACTGCGGCTACACGATCTCTCAGGTGAGATCCATGAAGATTCTCAAGCGGTTCGGCGGCCCGACTGGTCTGTGGACCAAAGATCCGCTGGGGCAGACCGAGAAGATCTACGTGTTAGACGGGACCCAGAACGACACGGCCTTCGTCTTCCCAAGGCTGCGTGACTTCACCCTCGCCATGGCTGCCCGGAAAGCTTCCCGGGTGCGGGTGCCCTTCCCCTGGGTAGGCACGGGGCAGCTGGTGTACGGGGGCTTTCTTTACTTTGCCCGGAGGCCTCCCGGAGGGCCTGGAGGCGGTGGCGAGATGAACACCCTGCAGCTCATCAAATTCCACCTGGCCAACCGCACCGTGGTGGACAGCTCGGTGTTCCCAGCAGAGGGCCTGATCCCCCCGTACAGCCTGACCGCAGACACCTACATCGACCTGGCGGCCGATGAGGAAGGCCTTTGGGCTGTCTACGCCACCCAGGAGGATGACAGGCACTTGTGTCTGGCCAAGTTGGATCCGCAGACACTGGACACGGAGCAGCAGTGGGACACGCCGTGCCCCAGAGAGAATGCAGAGGCCGCCTTTGTCATCTGCGGGACGCTGTATGTCGTCTACAACACCCGCCCTGCCAGCCGGGCCCGCATTCAGTGCTCCTTTGATGCCAGCGGCACTCTGAGCCCTGAACGGGCAGCGCTCCCGTACTTTCCTCGCAGATACGGTGCCCACGCCAGCCTCCGCTACAACCCCCGGGAGCGCCCGCCCTACCCC